CATTGTGTCAAGCACATTTGTACATATGTTGCCACCATCATTTTCAAAACATTTTCTTTCTACTTGAGCCCTTGATATCAGTTCCTCATTCCTCCCCCTCCCCCAGGAACACATCCTTTAGGACTCCCACCAGTCTCTATTCAAACCGTTAAGCTTGGTCTTTCTGAGTTTCCTTCCACATTTCCCTCCCACTCCATTCAGGTCCTCCTACTGGGATCCCTTTTAGAACAGTCGGTGGTGATAAACAGGCGCTTTCTCGATCCTCTGATCTCAGGGTCCTTCTTAGGTTCGTGTTGGCTGAGGTTGCCACGGTCCATTGGTCCTTAGGACTCACGGTTTCCGTGCCTCTTCACTCTTTGCTCCTGGTGGGAAGCGACTAATAGTTGTGCCTTAGATAGCCTATATTAATTTTTAAACACTGCATACCATTCAAGAGATACTAGACCAGATATAACTCTTGACCTTTTTTAGATGCAAGCAAGAAAAATCACCTCCTGCTCATTTGAACAGAGAGGATCTGGGCACCTCCAGAATTTCGGGTTCTAAATGTCAGTGGAATCCAGGCTCCCCAGCTATGGTTTTCACTTCCGGAGCCAAGTGAATGTTCCCCGGACCCTTCAGTTCCATAAAGCCAGCTGTCTTCTGGTGTTTGCAATAAGATCTAGTGAATCAAGCAATCCAAACCCATTGACTGCCCTTGCAGTTCTGACCCATCACTCATTACCTGATAGAACAAAGTCGAATAGCCCCATGGCATTACCCAAGGCTGTAATCGTAACAGAATGGGAGCCCGGGTGGTGCAGTGGTTTTGCTGTTGGGTGGGGCACACATGGTCAACAATGAGAAACCAGCAGCAGCAGCTCTTCAGAGGAAGACCAGGCTTTCTACTCCTGTAACCAGTTACAGTCTCGGAAACCCACAGGGACTCACAATGAGCCAGCATCGACTCAATGGCAGGGACTTTTTTGGAAGAAGCTAACGTCCACATCTTTCTCCCAAGGAGTGGCTGGCACGTTCAAACCACCACTGATCTCTCAGTCAGCAGCCAACCACATCTGGGTCAGCAGCTGAGGCCGTCCACCACTGCACCCTCCAAAACGGATGCTTTTTAAATGTTGGCTTTTTTTGTTGCTATTGTCGTTGCTTGCCCTGACCCCTTCTAGTGACTTCTAGTGAATCTAATAGGATAGCCAGTTTCTTTCCTTCTTTGTCAAGTTAGTTCCATGGTCAGATGCCATGATGGTAAATAAGATATTCCCAAAGTCCATGTAGGAAGATCATGGTAATAAACACTTGGCTAATGGGGAAAGCAAATCCAAGCTTGGTATAGTCCTCTTCCCAATTAAATTGATCCACTGCCCTGGCCAGGATAGGCGCTATGATAATGACCCTCTTCCACAGTGGGCGCTCAGAAGTGGCAATTGCCAGGACTGCTTTGCAGAGGGGAAGTACACGCTGAGCCCATTAAAACCCTGGTCCCAGCCCCTGTCACCATTGTATAAGACCCCGTTGAAGCTGGCACTGGCTTATCTGTATCCACAGGTGGGTCTCCTGGTGAACTAACATACTAATGCTTCCTTAGCATTAGTGGCGTTTCCTATGGGGTGCAAACGCTACCCCTTTCTGGTTCTATTCTGAGAATTTCATCTATAGGCTTCTTTCTAAAACTCCTTGTCAAAAAAACAAACAAACAAAAAAAAAACTCCTTGTCACCAATTCTCTCAAGGCCCTGGCCACCTAGCCAAATGGACACTGCCCATGACTTGACGGAGAGTCTTTCTCAAGGCAAAGAGACCCACGAGAACGGCTCAACGCTCTGTCTTCTGGGAAGACGTCCTTTTGCCACTGTCATTCAGGACCACTTCCAAGTGTAGCTGCAACATTTTCGTGGTACCTTCCAGCTGATGGTATCCGTAAGACCACCTCAAGGGCCATCTTTGACATCTAATCATCCCTTCCTACTCAATACATTTTCTCAGTCACAGACCAAGCCCCACACCTTTCCTAGAACCTCCTGGTATCTATTTCTTTAGTAGCTGGGTTCTTGGTTGCAGCCAACAGAATCCAACCGCATCTGCTGGAAGCTCACAGAATCACCGAGAAGGCCCAAGAACCAGGCTCAGAGGCTATCCAACCAAGAAGATCTCAACCAGCCTGGAGAATCAGGCCAGGGAAGGCAGACGCGGCTGCTGCTGCACCCTGCCACAAAGGCCTGCTACAACCACCTACACTCGGTCCTGGCCACTGCTTCAAAGCAATTCTAGCTTCCTCAAATAATCTGCTCACCACTGTTTGGGGAGGAACACAGACTGATGCTAGCTGAAAAATTAACTCTTCCTCTTTCACCCTTTCTCCAAAGATGTTGCAGCTTTGGACGTGCCCGTTCAGAGAGAGAGCATGATCAACCTATTCTGATTTGCCAGAGACTTGCCTAGTTTTAACCAGAAAAATCCTGCATTCCAGGAAGCTCCTGAGTCCCTGGCACTCTGGGTAGCATGTCACCATGCAGGGAGGTGTCCTTTATAAAAAGTCTTGCAAGGGCAAAGGCCAGCGGGCATCAGAGTGTCTTAGCCAATCAAGCAGAGACAGCTTGTGAATACTGGGTGTGGGAAGGTGGCAGCTACTCCCTAGGGGCCTCCTGTGTCTTTGTGGGACAGGTGGGGGCAGTGAGGCAGTGAAATTTGGGTATAAGGCTAATGTGATCTCATTTCTACCCATGGACCCCGAAGAACCAGAACCAGCAGGAAATATTTACATAAGTGAGATCACTGAAGAACGAGATGTTGTCTGAGCCTGTGGGGGGGGGGGGGAGTCTGTGACTAACAAGTTCCCAATTGAATGACTGTGATATCCCATCAAAAAGATTGTCAGTCTGTTTCTCTATTATAAGTAACACTTCCATGAACATCTTTGTGCTCAATGTTGGGGGTTTTTTGTTCCTTATATAAGATGTTTAAATACCAACATAAAAGTACTCCTCATTAAGTTTATACTCTGTGCCAAAGAGGAGCCCTGGTGGCACAGCAGTTAAGCGCTCTGCTGCGAATTGAAAGGTGGGGTGATTAGAACCCATCAGCCCCCTCCATGGAAGAAAGATAGGGCAGTCTACTTCTGTAAAGAGACACAGCCTGGGGGTGTGTAAAGAGACACAGCCTCTAGGGTCGCTGGGAATACAGTCAACTTGATGGGTTTGGGCTCAGCACCTGAGTCTGGCACCTCCTTTTTTTTTTTTGTAGCGTATGTGTGTTACAAAAGCACCCACATCCTTTTCTATTTTACGTTTCCCCCATCAAAACACTTGCTTCCACTGCAAGGTGGGGGTGGACCTCTAGCTCTGACTCAATTCCTTTCAGCACCTCCAGCATGGCCTAGTAGAGATTCAGGCAAAATGGATGGTTGAATGTTGTATTAGAACAAAAAGAGAAATCAGTTAGTAGAACCAGAAGCCAAAAGTCAAAATCAAACCCACTGCCATGGAATCGATCCCTGTTCATAAAGAGTCTCTAAGACAGAGTGGCCATGCTGCCAGGGCTAGAAAGCTTCACAGAAGCAGACTGCCCCATCTTTCTCCCACAAAGCAGCAGGTGGATTTAAACCAGCAACCTTTCAATGAGCAGCCAGGCACTTCCCCACTGTGCCACCCAGACCCCGGGACTGAGCAAAGAAGCAGGCTGCAGATGGCTTGCAGGGGCTGGGACAGTGTAACGGGGGAGTGGATAGTCTTGTTGGTGTTCAGAGAAGGGGATATTGTCTGGGGAGGGGATAGAGGAGGATGGAAGCCAGCTAGGCAAGCCATTCTCTAGGTCGAAATATCAAACAATAAAGACAAGCTTTACTTGGCCAAACGCTGCTAACTAGCAAAACTAGCCCTAAAAAGTGTGTGTGTGGTAAAATCCACACATAACACAGAATTTACTATTTGTGACATTTCGTGCATTCACAACGTTGTGCAACTAGCACGTCTATCTAGTTCCAGAATCTTCACCATGCCAAAAGGAAGCCTTCCTGACTGGGCAGTCACTCCTCATTTCTCCTCCCCAGTCCCTGAAAAGCCCACCCAGTCGCTGTCCATCCACTCCTCCTCATGGCACCCCCATGTGGACCAGCGCGAAGCTGTCCTCCCTTGTTTAATGACTACTGACCGGAAGTGGAACACCAAGAGCCTTTCTGGGCTGGGGGATTGGGTACGCACATTCAGTGGCATGGGGATGTTCAGGGGATGCCTTCATTCATTCCCCCAACAAATCTATCTTCCACCCTTTGCATATGCCAGTGGATACACAGTGCTCGATGGGTTTAGAGAAGGTGGGCAGGAGAGGCTTCTCTCCTCTGCGGAGGTGACATGTGAGTTCAAACTGAACCATGAGGACAACCATCCAAGAGAAGGACATACAGTGACCCCAGCATGCCTGCGAAGCCAAAAGGAGACTAAGCCTATTGGAGCAACTTCATGAGCCTGGACCAACCTCTTGATATCGGTCTTCCCATCTATGAAAACTAGAATTATTATAAGACCCGCCTTATGAGGATTAAATGAAGCTACGGGCATCAAGAGCCAGGCAGTGTTGAACCCTCCAAACCAAGCCAAACTCACTGTCATTCAGTCGATTCCGACTCACTGTGACCCAGTGAGACAGAGCAGAACTGCCTCTTTGGGTTTATGAAACATAAAGGCTTTATCGGAGTAGACACTGGAGTGACTAGTGAGTTTGAACCACTGACCTCGTGGTCAGCAGTTCAATGAGTAGCCCACTTTGCCATCAGGGCTCCTTTTGTCTGAAACTAGTAAACCATTAATCACCATCCACTGTCATGATGATGGTAGTGAATGTTTTATTATTTGACAAATGAGAATACTGAGAAATGCATGGGAGGGACTCTGGTAAAGTTCATGTAAATACTTTGAATTCAGTCCTGGGGCCGCCACATGGTAGCATAATTTGCATAATTGCTTATTTCTCTGAGCTTTCGTTTGTTTTGTTTTGTTTTTCTCATCTGAAAAATTAAGCTAAAAATGCTACTTATTGAACTATTGAATTACATGATCTGTGAATTATATACCAATAAAATAGTCTTGTTTTGTTTTGTTTAATGATACTTATCATATTCAAAGTGACACTCACTGCCATCAGATCAATTCAGAAGATCTATGCGACCCTATAGGACAGAGCAGAACTGCACCTGTGGGTTTCTGAGATTGGGACTCTTTATGGGAGCACAAAGCCTCATGTTTCTCCCTCAGAGAGGCTGGTGGTTTCAAACCGCAGACCCTGTGATTAGCAGCTCAACTCATAGAGCAGTATGCCACCAGGGCTCCTCAACTTATCACATAAGATTGTTTTAAGGATGAAATGAAATACCACACATCAAGCACTTAACAAAAGGATCCAGTAACATGGATGGTCTCAAAAAGGTTAGCATTCATTGCTGTGTTTTATGTATGTCAAAGTTTTGGGGTTGTTTTTTTTAACTCCTGTAAAAAGTTAGTCTTGGAAACCCACAGGGGCTCTACCCTGTCCTATAGAGTCTCCATGAGTGGGCATCGCATTTTTGGATGGCAGTGAGTTTTTAGATATGACACCTCTTAGTCTTGAGGACAGGAGCCCTGGTGATGTGGTGGATGACACATTGGGCTGCTAACCTTAAAGTCAACAGTTCTAAGCCAACAGCTGCGTTGTGGGAGAAAAGTTAGGCTGTCTATTCCCATAAAGAGTTACCTTCTCAGGAACTCACAGAGGCAGTGGTGCCCCGTCCAGAATCCATGTCCAGGGTCACTAGGCCACAGAATGGACTCAGGGAAAGGAGTGTGGTTTTGAGTTTGGTCTCCCTGAGACGTCACCCTGGCCGTTTGATGATACTCAAGTGGCCTTAGGACTATTGTCGTGTTTAAGATGAAACTGGGGCTCTGGCTGGAGCGCCTTTAAAGGTTTAGTCTTGTTTTTTCCCCAACAGCTTTATTGGCTTATCATTCACATATCACACAATTCAATAGATTAATCCCATCCAGAGCAGCCATAAGCAGAGTGCCTTTCACTTCAGGCACTAAAGCCTTTGTGATGATCTTCCTGTCTGTATTGACCTTACCAGTCTGTCTGTCTGTCTGTAAGTCTGTCTGTAAGACCTTACCAGTCCTTTCAGCTTTACATCGATGTTGTAGTTACTGTTGAACTTCATTCGTAAAATGATGATGATTAAAAAAAAAGGATGAATTTTAAATTATTTTTAATTACATAGGTCGGAATTAGTATACTCTCATTTAAAATTTTAAAATGAAAGCCATAAGATGCCACTGCACAGCCCTTAAGGTGGCTGTAAGGAGCCCTGGCGGTGCAGTGGGGGAGCACTGGGTCTTAGTGCTTACATTCTGATCACCCCATTTGTATAAAGCTATGACAGTAAAAGCCCAAAATCCATGTGCAGAGTCCCCAGATAGATGAGGTCTTCATTGAATTCCTTCTGACATCGACCAGGGATACAAACAGTCTGGCCCTCAGGCAGAGTGCATGGAAAATAGATCACCTCCAACCCGTCTTGCCAGCGGAGGCAGGAGCAGTCTTTCTTAGGGGCTTGCCAGGGTGCCTCCCTGATGGGAACCATCTTAAGGGTGGCCAAATAATCATGAGTTATGCCCTCACCATCTTGGTTGGAAGGTCCTGGACCAATCTTGTGCACTCTTCTAACAGATTGTATGTGCCCCAATCATGGTTCTAGTCCTGCTTCTATAGTCCCACCTGTAACTGTGATGGAACCCCGTGGCATAGTGGGTTGCTAGTTGGGTTGCTAACCTCAAGGTCAGCAGTTCAAAACTACCAGCCACTCTGAGGGAGAAAGATGAGGCTACTGACTCTCGTCAAGAGTTAGTCTCATAAACCTACAAAGGCATTTCTACCCTGCCCTACAGGATCGCACTGAGTCAAAATTGACTCGATGGCAGTGAGTTTGGTTTTGGTTTGTAGCTGCGATGTGTTGATAAGCATCCCCACCCTCATCATGCTGTTGGGACAGTTTCCTTTGCCCTCCCAAGTCCTTAAAGTTCTGCGTGTCAGGTAACCCTTGGACACCATTGTGACCTCATCCAGATGATATGTCTCTGTGTGGTCTTTGTCCCATTTAAGACAATTAATGTTTTTCTTACATTGTATTTGAAATTTGAGGTCTTTTTTTGTATCCTAAAACAGTAAGTGGGTAGATTGGTAGAGAGAGAGACATAAAGGAAAGAGAGAGAAAGATATTGTTGTTATTGTTGTTGGGTATAGTAACATTCACTTTATTACTGTCATCTGGAACTAAGCCCAAAACACCTGTAGTCCATTCATCAAACTGTCTTCGTTACCTCGGGCTACTGTAACAAAAGATATTATCACGTGTGTGGCTTTAGAGAAGAGACATTTATGCTCTCGTTCTTCTGGGGGGAAAATTACAGAGCCATTGGCACAGTGAAAAAGTAAAGTTTTTGGAGAGGTCTGAGGGGCCAGCCCCAACCCCAACTACATGGACACCTCCCCCTCCCCCCAGAAGAATTTATTCCAGAGGACAGCACTGAAACTGCAGCTCTGGGAGAGGGACATGTCTGATCAGAGCACACGGGAGCAGATGAAGGGAGAGGAAGAGACAGTGGAGCACATCCTGGCCCACAAAGCCTTGAGGACGATATTCCTGCTCAGAGCAGCCAATCCACAGAGAAGACCACATGGCCGGCCCCACTATGAGACACAACGTCCCTCACTGACCCATAGCCCTACAGGGGACAACACTGGAGACACAGGATGGGAATTGCACCCGATCTGATCCCACCACACCGAGGCAAAACACTAAGGGTGTGCAACAGATCAGCAAGGGGAACGGAGCAATGATGTCCCCAAGGAATACCAAAAATAGACTTTGGGGCCAAGGTATGGCACCCCATCAGACTCGACCAGAAAACACTCCTAAAGGCCAACGAACAGTCCTTGAACTAAAAAAAAAAAATTATTTATTTTAAATAATAATACATTTGTAGTTTTAAGTGTGAAAATCACGAAGAGAAATGCACCTCAGTTTTGCTTTGCAAGCAAATAAACTGACTGGATGATCCTGGGATCAGCTCCTTTCCTGAGTGTGGTGGCTCGCTGCTGCCAAGCCAGTTTTTCACAACAGACCAAGACACCGCCCGGTCCTGCACCAGCCTCACCATTGTTGTGTTGGAACTACTTGTGGCAGCCCTGGGTCAACCCATCTTGTTGAGAGTCTTCCCCTTTTTTGCCACCCCTCCACTTTACCAAGGGACAGGTCTCTGCAGATAACGCGTCCAAAGTACATTCGGCAAAGTCTTTACTCCTAAGGAGCATTCTGGCTGTAGCTGTACTTTTGGCAGTTCACACAGTACTCTCAGTGTTCTGTGCCAGCACCTTACTGACGGGAGTTGTTAAATCAAACCTACAAAATACTGCCATAGCAACACCTGAATTGGTGTTTGGACAACCCACTGATCTAGGATGGTGATTCAGCTTTGGACTACTAATGGAAAGGTCAGTGGTTTGGCCCCTCCTGCTGCTCTGAGGGAGAAAGAAAGAGTAGCAGCCTCCTTACCATAAAGATGTGCATCCTTGGGAATGAGATAGGACCGTTGTACTTGGATCTCAAACACCACTGCTATTGTCAAGGCCAACAGGATAGCACTGAGTTGAACTGCCCCCTATCGGGTTCAGAGACTGTTTAGTGGGTGCATGGGAGTTGATGGTGGATCCAAGTAAAATTAAATCCTGTCTTTTCTCCATTTATCATGGTGTTGCTTACTGGTCTGGTTGGGAGGATTCTTTTTTTCTTTCTAGTGAGATGTAATCCACACCGAAGACTGTGTTCTTTGGGCTTCACCAGGAAGTGTTTCAAATCCTCTTTGCTTTCAGTAAGCTAGGTTGTGTCAGCTATACCGTTTTGTTTTTGTTTGTTTTTTTAATCATGTTATTGGGGCCTCGTACTATTTTCACAATCCATACATTCATCCACTGTGTCAAGCACATTTGTACATTTGTTGCCATCATCATTTCAAAACATTTTCTTTCTACCTGAGCCCTTGGTATCAGCTCATTTTTCCCCTCCCTCTCTCATGAACCCTCGATGCTTTATAAAAATTTTTTTCATGTCTTACACTGACTGATGTCTCCCTTCACCCACTTTTCTGTTTCCATCCTCCTGGGAGGGGGTTATAAGTAGATTATTGTGATTGGTTTCCCCCTTTCTCACCCCACCTGCCCCTTATCCTCCTGGTATGGCTACTCTCAATTTTGTTCCTGACGGGTTTATCTGTTCTGAATTCCCTATGTTTCCAGCTCTTACCTGTACCCATGCACATGCTCTGGTCTAGCCAGATTTGTAAGATAGAATTGGAGTCATGATAGTGTGGGGGAGGAAGCAATAAAGAACTAGAGGAAAGTTGTATGTTTCATTGGTGCTACACTGCATCCTGACTGGCTCATCTTCTCCCTGAGACCCTTCTGTAAGGAATGTCTAGTTGCCTACAGATGGGCTTTGGGTCCCCACTCTGCACTCCCCCTCATTCACAATGATGTGAGTGTCATCTATTCTGGCATTGGGCCTTCCTCCAATCTTGATGCCCTGTTCTTCTTCAGATAGTCCGCTTTCTCGGATTGTTTGCTCAGCCTACAGATTGAATAAGCATGGTAAAGGGATACAATTCTGTTACATACCTTTCCTGATTTTTTTTTTTTTTTTACCTTTCCTGAGTTTAAACCATTGTTGGAGCTAATGCCTCTTAGTCTGTATATAGGTTTCCCATGAGCATAAAGAAGTATTTTGGAGTTCCCATTCTTTGCAGTCTTATCCACAGCTTGTTATGATCTGCAAACTATAGAGACAAAAAAGAGATGAGTGGTTGCCAAGGGGGTTGTGGCGAATGGCGAATGGGGAGTGACTACTACTAGGAACGGGGGTTTCTTTTAGTATTGATGAAAGTGTTACAGAATTAGTCAGGATGGTTATACAAGCTTGTGAATACAGTGTATTAAAACCCAAATGAACTTTAATAGAGTGAGGGTGAGGGTATGTGAATTGTACCTCAATAAAAATTAATGATCAAATGTAGGTAAGTGGTATGAAAAACAGAAATTTAAAAAACAAAAACAATAATACTGTAGACATGCTTTAGCTCTTCCTGGATCAGTCCCCTCCACATTTGAGCAACAAAATTACTTCCAACCGATACTATTATCCATTTGGTAAGGTTTCTAGAGTTTCGCCCCCAGCATTTACATATGTTTCTTGAAGGAGTCATGGTGATGTGGTGCTTAAGTATTCAGCTGGTCGGTGGCTGGGGGTAAGCAACATGGCGCCAAGCAAGCACAAGCCCAAGTTATCCAAGAATCTGCTGCGCATGAAGGAGCCTCCTAATCGAAGAGCAGAGTTCTTTGCAGAGCGCAGACCTTCTCTATGGAAGAATGTCCATCAAGGGATTTAGTCCTGAAGTTGAGAAACTAATGCTTCAGAAGAACTCCAAGAGCAGAACCCAGGAAATTGAAGATGAAATCGTGGAGGTCGATGTGTCAGATGAAGAAATGGCTAGAAAGTATGAAAGCCTGGTGGGGACTATCGAAAAAAAAGTTCGCCAAGAAGAGAGATTGGGCCAATTCCAAAGAAGATGAAAGTGGGAACACAAAACTGACAAAAACAAAGAAGATGTTCTTACAACCCCAGGAGTAAAGTGGCAGCCTGCAGAGGCACCTCAGGAAGAGCAGCCTTTCCAGGGAAGCTGCTCTGCTTAGTGCGCTGTCACTTTTGGATACTCTGGTGTGTGTTTGTGAACAAGTGCACACGTGGAAAATTCTGTTCCCAAAACAGATGTGTGATGGATGTCCCACATCCTTTTGCCCGAATGGAGTTTGTCGAGAAGGGGTTTTACACTCTCGAGCTTCAAATGTACATAAAGTTTTCATAAAGACTTTTGTGACCTTGGATTTTTTTAAATAGAGCTCTGTGAACCCTGTCCTTCAATAAATTAATCTCACTGTTTAAAAAAAAAAAGTATTCAGCTGGTCACTGGAAATGGGGGCCTTCACTGGCACCCACCAGCCAGGTGGAAGGAGAAAGGACAGTCTACTTCTGTCAAAGCGACACCCTTGGGAACCCTCTGGGCAGTTCTCAACTGAGCCCTTCGACTGTGGTGAGAGGGGTGCACTCAG